AAAACTTTTTTTTTACAATCTCATTGATACTCACACTTGTCATACTTCTCACTCCTCTGGTGTTGCGTGTGGATATTCAAGGGTGATCCTAATCAGTGATCACTTGGGTTGTCAGTCTGCTATTCTACCCCTGTCCAAAAAACGCATCAAAATTTTATTACGTCTAGTACACACGGCTACACATCGAGCTTTACATAACCAGTATAAACTGAACGTTAAATGTGCGGAAAGATGATGCGACGCGACACCAGGATAAACTGGTTTTGTATAGATTGATGTGTGGCCGTGTGTACCTACATATTTACGGCAAATTTTATAACTGCAAAAGAAAAAATATTGGGTATACGTGTCTACTAGAGCGTTCATTTTACGAAATTCTTCAAGGATATAAAAATCTTAAATCGATTTTAAAAAACAGGAGGTTCTCATTCTGGCCTATATGTTCATAATATGTATGTGTTTGGGCGCCTTCGATCAACAATAACAACTAGATATCGGGTCTGCGCAAGAAAATCGTCTCGACAAATAAGAGCTCACTTGAGAAGTGAGCTCTTATTTTGTTTAGTATGCTCCAAACACGGCCAACGTACTCACGTCTCGCGATGCCGCAGTGCATAATTGCAAGTTGCAAAAATAATAACCGAAAAAGCAGTATAACGGCCGGAGTGTCTTACTTTTGATAAGTACATAAAATATAAGTTATATTTTAAGCTTTTAAACTAGTAAATAATATCAAATTAGTCAAAATTACCAATTATAAACCACCACCAATGTTTGTGCGTGTGTTGGCGATCCCTTGGCCAAACCTCGCCAACACGCGCACAAACATTTGTTTAAACAGAACAGTGGATGCATGGAGTCTATTTGTATTGTAAAATAAAATTGTATTGTAATTGATTGGAAATGAGTATCTAACCTATGGAGTTTATTGCTCGTTCTTCTCCATAGGAATCTACACCTTGGAATGAGCAATTAGCTTCACTTTAAAATTTATATTGTTGACGTTCAAAAGTGCCTTCCTGGTTTAACTGAAATAAATGATTTTGACTTAGACTTTCAATGATAAAGTAAATAAACATATCATACACAAAAACGTACCGCTAATAAAAATAAGTGATGTACCTATACTAAGATCACAAAATCTTAATTTTCATATTATAATATTATTTTAGTGTCCAACGCGACTCCATACATACCTCCTGTAGCAAAATTCGAAATTTGAAGAAGCAAAACGAAACAAAACAAAACGATATAGATCGCAAGACAAAATAATGGAAAAATTGTCTTTATTTGTTCAAGGTTAAGGTTGAATTCAAACTAGATATTGTGTAACTTATGTCTTTTAATTTCTACATGACAGGAGGAAGAAAATACTTTTCTCGTCTTATGTGACAAATGGTCGTAAGTATTAGATAATATTTTGACGATTTATGACTATATTATTAGGTGCCATGGTTGTTATTAGGTTAAACTTAAAACTATTTTAAAACATTTTTCTCTGTTTGTTATTTTTTTACTATTATTATTCACATGGACAGAACTGGAGCTTGATTTTGTACGTAACCCTTTATCTAGTTGCTATTGTTGATCGAAGTTGGGCGCCATTATCTCGCGATTGGCTGGAGCTATTTCGGTGCGGTTTTTAGAAAAGTGTTTGTTACACTATCAATTAACTGACTTCAAAAAAGAGGGGGCTGTAGTCGGTTTTTTAAAAGTAGTTTATAAAATAATTTTTAAATATGCCCCATTTTAGTGACTCTGTCAATCATCATTTAGGTATGTAATAGTGAAAGCATAGGAAATCCCATTCTCCATCACCGTCCATAATACGTCATCTAGTTTCGATATAAATAACTACGTATCAAAGGTTACAAAATGGCGCCTCTTCGAACCTGTCTCCGATCACGTAAGGTCCAAAGGTTGGAACTAACTTGTTGACCGACACGTACTTGTTGATCGTCTCTAGGACATACTATACCAAGAAATTCAATGATTCATATAACTTGTTAGGGATACCTAAATAGATTTAGCTTAATTTTACCTAAACTAGCTTCGCCTGCGGTTTTAAAACATTTTTTTCACATCACACACGAAATAAATCAAAAGATAATATTATCATAGGAAAAGAAAAAATGGTGGTTTCCACTTCCCATGGTGAATTACTGCAGGCGACAAAATAGATTAAGCCTAAAGGCACAAAAAGAGACTGCACAACTGGGAGAAGCTCAGTTACCAAGCACCACGGAAATTTGATTAAATACTAAGTGGGTCCTATGTGTGAGCTGTTATACTTGATGCCAATAAAATATGCCAATGGCAAAAGCGCCTTTACGAATTTACAGGTCTGGGTAATTATGTGTTGTTTTTAGAATTTGTAAATGCAACGAAAAACATACATATATACATATAACATTACGCCTTTTATCCTCGAAGGGGTAGGCAGAGGTGCACATTATGCCACTGTACAACGTAACACCCACTTTTCACTATTTATGTTATGAGTCCCATGTAATAGGGGGTGAGCCTATTGCCATATACCGGGCACAATTCCAGACTCCGTGCTACTACTGAGATTTTTTTTTAAAACCCAGTAATACTTTGCCCGATCCGGGAATCGAACCCGAGCTGCCGCACTTGCGACCATTCGGCCAACGAGGCGAAAATACTTATGAATAAATCTTCATACATCTCAAAGAACCACTCAATCTGCTGCTAAAAAACGGCATCAAAATCCTTTCACTAGTTTTTTAAATTATCGGAAAGTGATACCTAAAAGACAGATGCTCATCAAACATAAATAAATTATAGTATTTATAGTTAGCTTGACCTAAATACAATCAGGCGACATGATTCATATACATGAATAAATCGAGTGAAATTTACATTTCATATTATGTAGTCTGCTTTTCCGTTGCTTTATGTGTTAATTCACAAAGTAATCAATACATGCATGTAATGAATACCTACCTGTGTTGTAAATAAGATGTTCCGTTTGTGTCGTCCATTTACTTGCTTTGTTCTTGAACTTTTACAAGTTTACAAACATAAAGTAAGAACGTTATGGAAATAAAAATGGTGTAAAAAAATTTAAAACATAATTAAAAAAGAAAAATTCTTAATTACCTCATTAGTCGAATTACAATAGCAAGATCAATGATGCGGTCGGTGCAGTAGCTGGGCAACTGACTGCTGAGGCCTTAGTACGAGTTTGTTTTACGTTTAAAAGTAATCGGAACGAGTACGCATACGGCGCTCTGATTGGTTGGTTCATTGGCGCCGGCCAATTAGAGTGCCGAACTCGTACTGCCCCCTGTGTCGCACTCACTACGACACAGGGGGCAAATCCAAGAGAACCAACACGATTTTATTAAAAAAAAAATTGAATCTCAGGATTGGAATTGAGCCCAGAGTGCCAAACACGAATAATTATTACATTCGTATCGTAATAGTATCGAGCGAGTTCGGTGTTCTGATTGGTTGCTTCACTGGAGCCGGCCAATCAAAGCGCCGAACGCGCTCGGTACTATTAAGTTACGAATGCGATAGTTATTCGTACTAGGCACTCAGTTCGGGCAAAGTATTCACTATTGACGTTTCGATTGCAATACTGATAATGAATAGTGTCCTCTTGAATGGGACCCTTAACATAATAGGTAATAAGTGGATGTTTGTATGTGAACCTATGTATATCCTTTCAAAAATTAGAAAACATGATGGTAATAGGTTATACAAATAAATAAATTCGTAAACTAAACAAACCGCCCAGACGAAAGTTTGCGCTCAAAACGTTAATGGCCTTTATCACATTTAATGAGACTAAATCCGTACTGATATCCACAATATACATAGAATACGCATTGACCGTCTCTGCAGATGAAGGTCGCCAGTTCAACTCCCGCGTCGGAATGAAACTTCCACGTTGGTGCCGCGTGGTCACAAACAAAGAAGTTATTTTTCCTGCAGATTTATGAAAATGTGAATTAGTTTGTTTGCTTGGTGATTAAGATTTTTTGATTCGATAATGTTCGTATGTAAATATTTCTCTTGATCTTTATTTTTAATGAGATAAAAATAGTTTCATACTTTCACATTTCTCAAAAGGACTTGACTAAGACTTATGTGTGATCAAAATAACTCTTTGTATGAAGGGCTTGCTAATGTTTTTCATCAGGAAGAGGAGTATAACAAAAGTTTTTTTAGGAAATTCTGCAAAGATTAATAACCTGTACATGAAAAAAACCTCTTTAATTTACGACGTCCCCTTTTATTTATTTTCTACTTTTTAGTACTCAGCTGCATTAAATTACTTTGTCAGTGCTCCGGTTGACTGAAAACTTTTCCAAATTACATTATTTTTACGCACACAATACTCAATTAGTTCTCGTGAAAATTATAATAGAAATCAATTTCCACAACTGTCAATGTCAAATCATCCGCCATCATATTTAGTAGGTTTTCCCGCCATCTCCTGCAATCGGATTTACGTCATTCAGCAAATGAAAGGTACGTCATAAAGTCATATAGAAGCGGTCGTTAAACCGAAAATATGTTTCTAGAAATTATTCTCAATCATTGTACGCCTTAAACAGTAGCATTACTATTGTTATTGGCTATTGTTTTGATTGTTATAAAACGCTTTCGACATTTGAACTGTCTTTGATATGTCGTTGCAATTTCTTGTATCATTGACAATGTTCCAACTGTTTAATTAGAGTTTGACAAAAGTAATTGCTAATAAAGAGGTATGTTGTGCTTATCTAATGGTGTATGGAAACGAGTAGATAGATAATTAAAACTGTCTTTTGCCTTCTTACTCTTTGCCCTTAAACCTTAATATGGATGTAAATTCGTTGTAGGGGACATTATGTCTGCAGTAATACGAAATAAAGATTGCCATCAAAAAATCATAAAAAATACTATTAAAATATTATGTGATACTTAAATCTTGTAATAATTACATTGTTAGAAAAATCATTAATGCGTAACAACCATTATGCGCGTACAGGTCTTCCTTTAGTTATTTTTAACGTATTTTTACTCAGTGCTTATGTTTTTCCTTATAATGCTTCCTGTCTAAAGGTTAATTTCTAGACGTCCCCTCCACCAAAAAGTTTCTGACTCACGTAAAATAAGTCTGATTCACGAAAATTAGTTTCGTAACGGTAAATAATTTAATTCTTAGTCCTTCTCCTTGAATTTTTTTCCATAAAATAGAAGGAAGTTGAATTGACGAACACCGATATCGACGTTAATATTTATGCAGTATATTACATCTACTACGATACGATGCAATTTCAGTTAGGCATGTCATGTATAAATTAATTAACTAAACCACAATCACGTCAATGAAAGTAATCAATAACCATCAATGTAGTACGCGATATGTCAAACACTGGCCCTTGCGCAGAAAAAGTAAAAGACGTTATGTGCGGCCAGTACGCTCAGGAACGGGACGCGGGAACAACGGGCTTACACGATTAAAAAAGAAAATAAAAAAAATAAATAAACACAGCCCTACATAAAAACAAGCTATCTATCTTTGAGTCATTAGATAGATAATAAATGTGCTAGGGTCAGCACATAACTTGCTTTCATTTCAATATCATTCTTAGTCGAGACATCGCGTCAATCATACGCTCGTCGGTTTTTATTTTTGTAAATTATTTTTTTTAAACATGCGCCCTCTGTATGCAAATTAAGTATCAGTCGGTCGTCGGGTTATCGGTGCATTCGATTTATTTTTTGTTTTACGAAATAAAAAAAGATAAGGGCGTCGGAAAGATGGTGAAGAATCAGTGTGATGCGCGGCCAGTGAAAGCTTACATCATGAGTGACTTGCTGAAGAAGTTCGACAATGATACGAGGAACGATGTCGTTCAAATTGCCGTCGCGATCGCAGGATTCTATCTGGGTGTTTTTTGCCGTATGTATTCTTTTTAAATGTTTTTTTTTCGATTTGTTGCCAGTGATAATTAAAAAGTGATGTTATTTTTATTATTTTAAGTAATGTTCGTAGTTACATGTAACAAATAAGGTTAGATTAAATTGGTAATTTGGTACTGAAGTAAACTTATATTGTTATTTGAGAAAACCGCAACTCAGTTCAGTGAATTTCCTCATGTCTTAACGCAATATTAGCAAATACCACAATAATGTCATATCTGCATTAGGTACTAATACTCCAACGTTTGCCCTTAATAATAAATTAGTTATTTGTGTTGCCAATTGCTATACTTAAAAATTACATATTTATTTGTGTAGCCACTAAAATAATTGATGCCATAAAAATTTGTTATTATATGTATTTTACAGATTACATAATAATACCCATAGTAACTTGACCCACAAAAAATCCTGCATTTTCTATTCATCGAAAAATGCTCTTTAATACCTGTAATAATAAAAACTGGTACCTAGAGGCTATTTACAGTTTGCTCACATCAATTTTAATAGGTAATGTAAGGACTCTTAATATTAGGGTCTACGTACAAGGATGTCGCAGGCAGGTGGACCTAGGTCCGGTTGTAATGACAGCTTAACGGACGCCAGCAATTTTTTTTATATTTTTCGCATTAAATGCAATTTATATCGGACCTCCTTTGTACACTAGGCGGGAACGGGTTATGTGATACCGCGCGCTTTTTTATCTATGACATTTAAGGTAACGGTTTCGAAAATATCTATGGTAGGTACCTAATTACGGTAATTTTCCTTTTCTCGAGCGTATTCATTATTATTGGGACTAATAAAGTTTAGTTATTATTATTTAAAATATTAATGCGTGACTTATCTATTACCTCAGTGATTAATAAAAACCGTAAAAATATTACTAAATTCCAACTTTTCTTTCATGATTTCTTCTTGGATAGAAACCAAAAGAAATGTACCTATTGTTTTAATTCTGTCGTTACATCATACGTGATTTCAATGAAAATTATCACATGCCTAAGTTCATATGTCATTGTAATAATCAAAACTAATTATAATAAATTGCTATAAAAAATATGGAAATCCCGTTCCACTTATTCAATGTTTTTTTTTCTGTATTTCACGCAGGATTTATTTTATTGGAATACTATTTGAATTGTCTAAACCATTAAAAAAAAAACATCAAACTTCCTTACGTTGGTTGATTTCCAAATAAAAATGTTTCATATCTGTCTATAACTAAGAGGTTATTTAAATAAGAATTTGAATACGTATTTAAACGAAAAAACCTCACGTTTGTAAACACTGAATTGTCTAAACCATTAAAAAAAAAACATCAAACTTCCTTACGTTGGTTGATTTCCAAATAAAAATGTTTCATATCTGTCTATAACTAAGAGGTTATTTAAATAAGAATTTGAATACGTATTTAAACGAAAAAACCTCACGTTTGTAAACACACGTGCTAAAACCTAATTGTTATTATGAATTGTAATGTAATTCATATGTTATATAAATAAATGTATACATTTTAAAAGTATGTCAATGGTTTACGTGATCAGCAGTTTATTTTCACGTACGTCGTATCTACGTAAAGAGGTAATTTTCAATATGCATTATACTGGTAATTTTAGGTACATTAGGTGCATCGTCATCAGTCAGTTTCCGTCCACCGCTGAACATAGGCCTCTATAATAGCCCGCCATTGAGCCGCATTGAGTAGTTCTCTACTAGCACGCCATTGCGCTCGGTTTTTCATTGGGCCATTGTACGAGTTACCGCGTTCGGCGCTCTGATTGGCCGGCTCCAATGATCCAACCAATCAGAGAGCCGAACGCATACTCGTTTCGATTACTTTAAACTCGTACTAAGGTGTAAGTTGAAAAAACTCTTCGTGTCCGGTTTTTTTTTTGATATCATCGGTGTGATGATATCCTAAGAATCTTTCTCTGTAGCCAAAAAATATCTACAAGCGTGGTTTCCACTTCAAAAAGATGTTTGCCCTTACTGAATGGACTATTGTTATTAATGATAGTTCTTTAGATAAGAAAATTCCCAGTAATAATATGGAATCTAAAATAGTACACATTGAAAAATAAATTGGTTTAAGTATTAATGCGAAATAAAAAACTGAAATAGACCTTCTGTATCCTGTCCTGGTTAATTAAATCTTAATGAGCCTCATAGGCTCACACCTGCAGTTCTCTCGATACTTGTTAATCGATTATGATCTCGATTTATAAATATCGCGTCCCGGTCAATGGATCTTATGTTTAGACTTTATACCCACTATCGCATTCAAATAGGATTTCTTCATCTTTGTATTTTACTACTAATTCTTATTTTTTTTCTTCAACCGTTCAGGTCGCCTATAAAAAGTTCCTATTCCCAAAATGTTTTGTGAGTAGATACTATACTTCGTAATATAAATGTGCTGAATTAGTTACAGCTGTTGTTAAGGTGAAAAAACATTGAAAAAATTACTCAGAAAAAAAAAAGAAAATGTATGCTAATTCACTTTTGGTACAATTTGAAAACTCCAATTTTGTTATATTTAATTCGTTTTATCTATGCGACAATACGAAACTTTTTGGATCAAGCGGCAATTTAAGACATTGTATTTTTTCTTATTATAGTAAGGCGTAAAGTGCAGAGTCAATTTTAATTAATTTTCGTAAAATAATAGAAGTTCAATCGATGTTTTTGGACGAGCAAAACCATGGGAAAAGGTTATGTGTAATTCTATTACATTGTCGTCTTGTCATGACCGTCAAAGTACGATGAGAAATGAAGACAGACGTCCTAAATTCTACGAGCCTTTGTAAACGTTTTTGTTAAAACTCCTTGCGTAGTATTAAAAAAAAAATGTGTGCTGTTCAATCACCTTTTGATTGTTTATTTTGAAAACAAAGGAAAATACCGTTACAGGTCGTTTCATACGTATTCGACTCAAGCGCATGAATTAGATTTAATTTTATTTAGGTCATGCACGTTATTCGACAATAGTTAGTTTCTTACCTACATTTTTATCGCGTTTTGAGGTTAATTAATTAGTCCTGTTGTTCTATATTTTCTAGGTAGATTCAGATAGCATTAAATAAAATTATTTATATTTTTCTTTCTCAATCATTCCTGAATGTCGTTCCGAACATTTAGCTACTTTAAAATTATAACTACACATGGCTTTAAGATACCTAAATAATTAAAATCAACAAATAATTTAAAGATGCGCCGACGTGGCCACAAGTCAATATAAGTCAAAGTCTATATGTAAGCCGTTTTAATCCGAAATCTCTAGTAAAAGACATAAAAACAGGCAGAATGCCCGACAAATAGTAGGTAACTGTAAGATAAAAGTAAATAAAACTGTATGATATCGTTATATGTATTATCTTTAGCATATATAACTAGCTGTGTTCTTGAACTTGGTCGTAAAAACAATGTGGTCACTTTCAATGACACGCGAGACGAATTATTTTAATAATAGTCCATTATCTCCTATTTCTATGTTAAATGTAATGTATAAAAAATGTTGCTAACGATATTTAGTTGTTCATAGCATCTGAATGAGGTTACTTAAGGCCCAACCACTCCTTATTCGGCTTAGTAGCGGTTTCGCCCTAATTTTGTTCGCCCGAATCGGGCGAATGAACTACTTTCAATTTTGAATATTTTTTAGGGCCGGTTTCGCCCGAGACAAATTTAATAGCGGGCGAATCAGGTCAAGTAAAATTTAGTAATGGACTATTCGCCCAAATACTATTATACCTTAAAAAAAATAAGTAGTACAGTCGAGCGCACCATGTATAAATATTTTTAAAGAGGATTTACTTAGGCACTTGTGTTACTCAAAAATAGTAAGTAACCTACTAGATAATATGCATTAGATAATACTATTTTTACTTTTTTTTTTCAGTTTTTTTTTACTGTAATCTGTATAAAATCATAAATTCGGGCGAACAAAATTAGGGCGAAACCGCTACTAAGCCCCTTATTCGTCGCGGAGAACCTAACAGGTTACCGGGTCGCGGAGAACCTAACGGGTAACCGGGGCTCCTGCTTGACGTGCAGGAGAAGGAACGGGGTGGTTTTTAGTCAGTAAGAGTCTGACACTCCCTCCCGCCTCACCCAGGCGGGAGCAGTCATTCGATGATTTTTCCCCCCTTATATAAAAACCCCTCCTTATCCCCCAAAAGGCCGGCAACGCATTTGATACTGCTCTGGTGTTGCAGATTTGTTTCACCATCTATTTTACCATCAGGTGATCCGTCTGCTCTACAGAGTTATTAAAAACACTTCTTCTCACTTATATCCATGGTCTGGTCGTTTGCTTCCTATCTCATAAAAAATCCCTTTGTTACACAGTTTATAACTTTTATTACATTGTTGGGATCAATATTTGAACAACCTTTCGTTTTACGGGCTTACTTAATGTTTTAATCTACATGAAAAAATTACTGCCTCGTTGGCAGAGTGGTCGCTAGTGTTACTGCCAGGCAACGGGTCTCGGGTTCCATTCCCGGGTCGGGCAAAGTACTACTGGGTTTTTTCAAACAACCTCAGTAGTAGCACGGAGTCTGGAAAAATGCTCGGTATATGGCAATAGGCTCATCCCCTATTACATGCGACTCCGTAACATAAAATAGTTAAAAGTGGATGTTACATTATACAGTGGCATTAAGTACCGTAATATACACCTCTGCCTACCCCTTTGGGGATAAAAGGCGTGAAGCTATGTTATTAAAAAATAACGGAAATAGGATCAACAAGGAGTGGGTCGTGTCATCTCGATAAATGCATTTAAATCTCGGATATCGGTCGCAGCACAAACTCTTCATTATTATGAAAGTCGATTAAACAGTTACATGAATAAACTGTATTCATATGAAATATATGGTAATGTAATTATAAACATAAAGGAAAAGTCTAGAATGTAATGAAAGGAACGTATTTTGTAACTAAACATAATATTTTTCTTCTATCCTATACAACAGC